CTAATAAAGCAGGGTAAATAAATCAATTCCTTAAAGATGAGTTAATCTCAGATGAGGTTCAGCCATGAACATAAAGAAAAACAGCATTTCTCATGCGCCATGGTCAACCCCAGCCTGCCCAAACTCTGTAATACAGCCTGAAATACTCTGGCTCCACATTAAATTTCATGTGTTACCCAGCACCCGTGAAAGCCTGTGGCATGAGCTCTATGTGCTCCAGCACACTTCAAGATCAGAAGGGGAGGAAAAAAGAAAGAAAAAAATAAAAAGATATGCCAAAATCTGAGTTCCAATTGGTTTTTAGCCAAAAAGAAGACCATGCATGTCTTCAGAGGAAAAATAGTCTAGAAAACTCTAGAAAACGTAGAAAGCCATAGGCAAGAAGTGCCTTTTCTTTTCATCAAACTGCTTCCCTCTATTGCAAATTTATTTCTTCTGCCTTTAACCTCCACGGGGGACAATCATGCATTTTACCCTCCCTTACATCACACACTTCTTTTTCTTTAGCATCCTCACAGTAAATTGGAGATTACTTTGAAGATTCATGTTAGGAAGTGAAGTGTACACACTCACTCACATGCAAACACCTGCACAGGCTCCTGAGGGCGTCTGTGCTGCTCCTCCTTGCAATTCCAGTGACTCTGTGCCTGTGTTTCTGGCAGCAAAATAATTTGGAACTGGAAAATCAAGAAAGGGTTAATTAAAAAAAAACAAACAACAAACTTTGCCTAGTTTGCAGTGATTTTGCATCAGTTTCCATGGAAATGGAAGTAGAACAAGCCAAGAGCAGTGGTGTAGCCAACTTCAGCTGCTGGCTTCTAGTTCTTGCTCCTGTTTCCATGGAAATAGATGCCAAATCAGCAAAAAATAAGGTAACTTGTTTTAAGATAGTAGAGTTTTAAAGGCTTGTCCTTATTTAACCTCAGTCAGGAAGATAGCTGGTGAGGGGAGGCAGCCAGCAGCTCAATGAAAACTTTCAGAGGCTCTTTTCAGCAGCTGACTGCTTGGTGAACTCAGCAGAGTGAATTCACAGGGCAGCCACCAATCTTCAGAAACATTCTGCAACTTTCCTGCACTTTGCAAATAGAATACATTTTCCTCTTGGCATGGAGAGTCACAGCAGTCTGTGGGAGCCCAAGTTAACATCTCTCTGCAAGGCACCCCTGCAAGTGCCTCCTTAGGCTGCCTTTGCCTCCCAGAGTTCAGAAAGTGATGTGCTTTTCCCAGCTGCAATATGCAAACTACTCCCATTCCAAAAGTAAAATGTTCTGTTTCTACCTATTGGGAGAGAAGCAAAGGAGCGTTAGCTGGGGGAATTCCTGGCAGTGTTTTACAACAAACACTGTACTGTCTTTTTTTTTCCTAATCCACAAAGGCAAAATTTCACTGAGATAAAAGAAGCTGGCTGTAACCTTGCTTATAGCAAAATGTGGATGGGAAAGCAGAACTGAATCCAACCAGAAAAAAAATCTGCTGTAATTTCAAGAACTGAAATTTCATCCAAAGCTCGTTTTATTAAAACAAATGTTAATAGAAAGCTATTTCAAGGCTGGCTTTTGATCCTTAGTTCTTGCTGTGATGGAACTGTCTGTGGGGAAGAGTATTTCTTCGTGGGAAGTTGTGTGAAGAAAGAGATGAGAATCCCATCCTAGGCCCCATTGTTCTTTGAATTGTTCTTGAACTGTGATCCTTGCCAGCCATCCTCCACCTCTTTCTTTCCCCACATCCCATTGCTTATGTGCTCCTTAGGCATCTCTTTAATGAGCTGCAAAGACACCCTTAGACAAGGGATCATATCACAGGCCACTTGTGGCCCCTTTTTTGGTAGCAGAATATATCTGGAAGCCATAAGTGTGGGTATATGTTTAAAAAAAAAATTCTTGGCTGGCATTTGTGGCAAAGTAAATGCAATTCTAATGAGGCATTCCTTCATTTGCAGCATTACATTTTTGCTTTTAGGGACATAAAATCTGCTCTTGCAAGGGCACGTGCTTTGCTTCACACACGAAGAATATTCCCTTGGGCTGCTTGGGTGAGTAAATAAATGAAAAGTGCAGGCCAACCTAATTTTAAAGAAGTGAATCAGGTCTAGACTGGGGCCTCACCGTTGTTAATTTTAGGTATTACAAAGAATGTGCTCATTTTCAAACTGGTTTCTGTGGTTCTTCTTTGAAGAAAACCCAAGAAACATCAAGCCCTTCAAGAAATTGCCAAAAAAGATAGACCTTTTTTTTTTTTTTTTTGCATAACGAACACTTAAACACATGGGAGGATTTTTTCTTTTTCTTTTTGACAGCACACATTGTCTTAAAAGTCATGAAACTTTCTCCGATTGCTTTATCAGACATTTATTGCTGCTGCTGCTGTTGCTATGATGTGATTTTTTTGAAGCTGTTTTTGAGCTGTTGGGATCCTGTTTGAGGGGGGCAACCCAGGGCTGTGTTACTCATGATCCTCCATGACACTTCACTAATATTTCCCTTGGAAAAGCTTTAGACTTTTCTGTAATGGCAAAAAAAAAAAAAAAAAACAAACCAAAAAAACCCAAAAACAACCAAAAAAACAGGGAAGCAATGGAAAGTAAACACACATTTCAAGGGAGGGTGTGGGAGGTGGAGCTGAGAGCACCACTGCTCCCCAGGTGTTTGTAATTCAGCTTTCAGTGTACTTTTTGGACTCTCCATTATACAACAGTTCATCATCCTCTTCCAGGAGGCTTCCAGGCCTCCAGGTCAGTAACCTGCACAAACGTCATCCCCTCCAGCTCTCAGTGCTTAAATCACACCAGGAGAAAAACAGGAGCTCTCTGCCAACTCTTCTGCAAGCAGCTCAAACCACCGTGGCACAACTCAAAGGATCATGAGAACAAGCTAGAGAACAACAAGCTGTGGAGCCAAAACTGAGATAAAGCAAAAAAAACCCCAGAGAGAACAAGGTCTGACATGAGGTGTGTGCAGCAAAAAAATGACACACGTGCACTTTCATAATGTTGGCAGATCCCTGGAGTGTGCTGACAGCTCTGTCCTGGAAATCCAGCTCCTCCAGCCCTCCCAGCCCTGCTGCTGGCCCTGCCCTGGTGTCCCCAGGAGGCTGTGGCAGGTGGGCACAGAACAAGGTGTGGCAGGAGGGGTGGGGTGTTCCAAGCAAGCACAGACTGTCCTTTGCTCTTCCTGCAAAGTGACTGCTCCCAGAGCACAGGCTGCTGCCTATCTCAAGGGGAAGTGGAGCAGCAGCAGCCACCAGGTGCTTGCCATGTGTGCAGGGAGATGTCCCCCTGGGAAACTCCCTTCTCTGAGCTCTGGTCAAAAGTCACTGTACGTGAAAAGCTCCTCCCAGAGACACCTGGCAAAGCTGGATGATGACTGAATAACTTGTAAAACCACAATCACTCCATCCCTGCTGGTTCCCTGTGTTGGGCAGGGGGAGGTGGACAGACAGATTGCTGCTACCTCCTTGGGCTGACACCCCAGGGTGCTCCTGTCCTGATCTCTGAGCTTGGCAAGACACCTTTTCTTCCTGGCTCTGGTCTCAGGTTATCATCCATCTCAATTCCAGCTCCATCTCCAGGATCCTCCTTGCTCTCCCAGCATTTTGGGGAGGCCAGGGTGGGTGGGAATGACACCCTGACCTGTGAGAACCCCTTCTGCTGAAGCAGAGGGTTAGCAAAGGGCAAATGTGAGCAGTGAAGCAGCACAACTGCTCTGCTCCAGAGCTCAGTGTTGGTTGGGGTGTGACCTTTGTCCAGCCATCTCACCAGGGGACTCAATGCTTGGGAGTTTTCTCAGTGTCTGCAAAATTTCTTAGGTTAGTTTAAAGTCTAATTTGTCCTTCAATCAAAGAGTCATGCCATTTTTTTTTTCTCCTCCTTCATCCATGACTAGATAAGGCTGCCTTGTGTGTGGCTTGCATTATGTACCTGTACAGATTTCTGTATTTTATTTTATTGTTTGTATTAATGATTTTAATCATGGAGGTTTTTGGTTTGGAAATGGAAGGCCTGTAGCTTTCACAGCACAGATGGGAGATAAAAGCACTATAATCACAGAGTGCGATCAATGAGACTTTTTCCAGGAAGATGCTAAAGGCATTATTTGGCATTAACAAAGAAAGGGATAATTAGAAAATAGGCAGAGAAGCCTTTATTCCTGTAATTAATTTCAAAGTTGGAAGTTCCCTAGTGCTTTTCTGTTCAAAAGTGACAGCATATGAGCCATTGCAAAGGAGATATGTATTAATCATAAATCAGAAACAGGGAGGAAATTGAAACCTGTGTTTCCACCGACTTTAAAAAGAAAAAGCTGCTGCCTGGAGTTAATGTGTATTCTGACTGTATGTGGAGGAAAAAACAATTATAAATAGTTATTGACACATTACATGAAAGGTAAGAGGAGGATGTAGCCAAACTTGGTTTCCTGGGAGACTGGGCAGTCTTCTCCAGAGAAAAAATAATACTCAGGAGTTACTTTGAGGTTGTGCCTATGTTTGCAGCTGATCTTTTCTGCACTAATTTTTTACAATTGCTATCAGTCCCACTGATGGCCACAGTGATGGAAGAAGTGTTCAGCAAACTTCCTCTGCTTACCTTAATTTTAACACTGTCAAAACTGTTTCTGAATGAGAAGTTAGTGGCTCTGCTTTAGGAATGCCAGCAGCCACAGCCGTCTTGCTTACAGCCTTCTCCCATCTGGATCTTCAGCTTTTTAACAGGCAAACTGAACATCTTCCCCCGGGGTAAGATCGAAAATTAGCAAAGGAAAAAGGCATACACAGCTTTCTGTATGGTTTTTTCCCTTCTGTCCCCTAGTCAGTGGCTGTTGTCCCCATCATCACATCCACAGGTGTGACATGAATTGGTGCGAAGTGTCCAGCTGGGGAAGGCACCAGCCTTGCTCCAAGGGGTGAGGCTGGAGACCTTTAGCACTGGTGTCTTTTACTCAGAAACAGTGGATCCCCTTAAGACAGCTGATGTTGCACACAGAGCCATATATTTATTTTTTTATTTGATTTGATTTTTAATATAGACAGCTTTACAATTAGTTTTTTAAATTTCAGTCTGGTTGAACTGACATTGGTGGCTTTGTATCACGGCTGGCTTGGATGATGACTGGTGAAGGTGAACATAACACTCATGGTGCCTCCTCACACCATGAGGAACTCACAGCCTACACACACTTGCAAGTTCCCATTTGTATAATTTTGGGGTTGACTGCAGAACAATCATTCAGTCAGCTGTAATGTAGCATATGTGTATTTATATATACTATCAATCACATGGTACAATTTTGCATGTGGACACACACACTCTCTCTTTGAAATGATTTTTTCACTTATTTGCTCACAAGGTTGGTTAGGTGTCTTCGCTTACATCCCTCTCCATTTTTCTCTAGCTCTAGACCGGCAGGCAGGTGAACTTGGCATCTTACTTTACAACTGGATCAAAAAAAATGCATAAAGGTAAGAGGATTATATACAGGTTCTACATGGTTTTATTTTTTCAGAGTTCCTTCAAGGACAATCTTTCTTGTAGGTCCCATTTCTCACGTTTCTTTGCTTAAAGCAGAGAAATATGTACATAAGCTTATCACAGAGCTATACCCAGCGTTTCACAATGTGCAGTTGGCATTTGCTGATGGCAGCACCAGTGGAGCTCACTGTGTTTCCCACTGCATGGAGAGAGTGTTTGAAACAACAGTTTTCTTTTCTATTACTTGTTAATTTCCATATTCTGTTCTCATTGCATGAGCTCCAACACTCTCAAGCAAGTGATGCTATTTAAGTTCTCCTGGAAATACTTCTTACACATGCAGGAATAGAAAAAAATGATCTGCATGTCCCTGGCAGAAATATCTTCTGAAACCGCTAATGGTTTTCTTACCTCACAGCTATATCCCCGGAATGTTCCTGCATTTACCACTCCAAATCACTGCAGTGATGGCTTAACTCAAGTCAGACAAGCTGTTCTTCTCCTTCCAGTGAAATGATTGTCTCCTGATGTGTGTCCTTCAGTCCTATTTTTGAACATAACCTGAGAAAATCACCCCAATCACTGTCAGTAGTTAGTCTTTGGCCGGTGGTTGTAAAAAAAATCTTCTTCTTTTACCCCTTTATCTCTTCAGAGAAAAAAGTTTATTAACTTTGATAGAAAAAACTTTAAAGTTTTAATTGTATGAATCATTTTAGAAGGTAGCACTAATTACTTTTGATTTATAATTATAAATCAAGTTTGTAGAAAGGCGTACATATGAATGTCAAGTATGTAAAATACTTTAAGAAGGTACAGAATAAGAGAAAGGAAAAAGGCTCCAAAATTACAATTTTCCAGAACATTTAGATTTCATACCAACACAAGCAAAAATACTTGCTTAGAATGCAATTTAAAGATGTGATAGGACACAATGTCATCCTTTTACAACCCACGTAAGATATGTTATGATGCACTGCAATGACTGCAAAACAAAAAATGTTGAAGACAACTTAGTAATACCTTGATTAATGCAAATTTTATGAAACCTTCAAAAGGATATTAACATGTATTCAAATTTCATCCCTCGTTGGCAAATGTAAATGTAACATTTGGCTAAATAATTGTCAAAATTTCCACATTCAAAACCTTTCAGTAGCTGATTAGACTGCGGAATTAACTTTTGTGTAAATCTTCTTGAACCTTTTGATTAGCTTCCCAATTGTCACTGGGAATTTATAATATAAATTACAGCAGCAGGCTTAAAATTATTTGAACATGCCTAGAGCTAAGAGCCAACTAAATTGAAATCTTTTTAGTTATTGGAGTATTCCTGCTCTTTGCTCCTCTAGAAGACAGAGCAACATTTTAGCTTGTCCTAGAAAGGAGTCCAGCTTGACTGCAGGCAATTCCAGCCTATGAAGAGCCCCAAAATAGACACCTGGCTCGTTCCCAAGCCATAGTTTCCAAGTGAACCAGCTCCCAGCTCAGTCTCAGCGATCTCTCACTCACACAGAGACAGACTCTGCCGCGCCATTCATGCTCAGCAGTGTGTCAGTCCTCAATTAATAACACAGGCTACACCCAGAATCAGGCTGTGAACGTGTTTAACCCTACCCACATCTCCAAAATGGCCTCTCTTTGTGGAGATAGACCTCATTTGCTCTAACCCCTGGACTGTGGCTGTCGTATTTAGGCTCTGTTGGACTACTAAAAAATCCTCTCTTTCATCCCGAGTCATCCTGGCGCTGCCCTGGCCAGCAGCACAAGGAGATCTGTGTGGGATGTGCAGTCCATGGGCTGTCCCAGGGTGCTCCCACCCCATTCAGAAGATCTGACACATCTTCACCAACTATTGGCAAGGTGTTTTGGACTTCCAAGCAAGAAAAAAAAAAAAAAATTTGTGGTTTTCTTTGCTGTGAAAGGGAAATTAGTTCCTTACCCACTCCTCCTTCCAGACCGGGATATGACTCAGATCCTGATAGTTTAAGGATGATCAGAGCCGATGCTGGATTTCTTTTGTGAGATGTGTTGTAGCTGTACAAAATTCTGAGGATAAAATTACCTTCTGCTGCAGTCTGCTGCTGCTGGAAAACAAGCAGGACTTCTTCCTGTAGCTGGAGGTAGATAGCTTTTCATCTGGACTTCAGTCAAATTCACAGTTTTATGACTTCCCATCTAAAGCAATCTAAAATTCTTGTAAAAATACCAAAAGGAGCATACTTGTGCAACTTTGATAGTCCTGATAACTGGGGGATGTACATCACGGGCAATTCCTTTCAGAAAGGTTTACATTTCTGCTCGGCTTCCAAATGAAAACTATCTCAAGGAAACATGGGGTTATTTGTGGTGCTAACAATGCATATTTTTGAGGGTCTCTGGTTTCCTGTGGCGCCTCATCCTTAGGGCACTTCATTGTGAACGTGCTGGCACACATCCTTTTCCCAAGCCCAAAGCCACCTGGCAGCTACAGCAGGAAGAGTGAAAAGCAACATCCCACTTTCAACGGTAAATTCCCAACCTATGCATGATTTGTTGTAGCAACCTACCCATTTGCTCTCCTGCAGGGATAAATTACGGCTGTCTGGACTATGCTGTAGAACGGGAAAGATTTCATAATAACCCCGTAGCTTGTGCTCCAAAGCATGAAGGTTTGTCCTTTATTTTAAATCACGGGAATATCTAAAGCAGTATTCTCCCCATATCGACTTAAAATAATTGTGAAAGCCATAGTCTTATTTTCCCTCTAAATTTGCCTTTAACTTAAATATACAAACATGCATCTTATAGAAAAGAAATTAAAATAATAATTATTCATTTTCAGTACCTGGCTTAAAACACTTTGGAAGTTCATTGATTTTTCAGAAGGCTGGAAATGAGCACAGTCTGAACAACAGGTATTTTCTGAGGCATTTCAAATAGTATATCCCAAAGCAGAGCACTCACTAGTGTTGTTTGCTTTTGACTGTGGGTGACATTTCTGTTGGCTGGATCCCTTAACTCCAGGTAATACACAGCAGAAATTAACTGCTCTTCTGTGCATATTCTCATGCCTTTTAAAATGATATTTTAAATGTAAATAACTCCCTGAATACAGGAGGTTCAATCAGCACATAGTTCTTATATGTAGGAAGCCTCAAGATGGCACTCTTGAACTGCAGAGTTTTTCAGGGACGCTGATTATGAGTTTCTTGCAAGGGGAAAAAAAAAAAAAAAAAAGAGAAAGAAATGCAATGGTGAGTGTGAACCTGTGCAGGAATAACCAGAGGAAATATCAAGTAGAACAGCAATATCTGACTAAAGCATCAAAACCTATCAGAGTTCACGTGGCAAAATGTACTGGAAAGCATGGGTTATTATAAAAATTAGGGTTGATAAACCCCCCAAATTTTGTGAATAAATCCACAGTTTTTTTCAGCTTCATCCAGTTTTTTATCTTGCTCACCATCCCCTATTCAATACTTCCTTTTCTCTTGCTGAAGGTGTTTTCATGTTACCTCTTGAGTACCCTTGGGCTGGCTGAGGTGTTGCTTGTGTTGGGTAGATGTGAGGCAGAACACACTTGTGTAGGATATTTATGCCAGAGACGTGAAAAAGGGATGGTGAGAAGGAAAAAAACTGGTGAAACTTTGGTCTGCAGACCACAGGTAGAATTCCATGATCTGAAGAAGTTGTGCCTCTCAGTTCCTCCTTCCATCACCGCCCTCCATGGAGCAGAAGCTGTGCTCTGTCTGTGACAGGAGACCCTGATGGCTCCTTCCTGGATGCTCCTGCTTCCTCCTGCAGCACAGGGACAGAGAGAGGAGGCCATGATATCCCCAACTTTGGAGGGGAGGGAAGGACACCTACCTGCCCTTCATTGGGAACTCACAGACTCACCTACTCTTGCCTTGGTGGCCAAGAAGGCCAATGGCATCCTGGCCTGCATTAGGAATTGTGTGACCAGTAGGAGCAGGGAGGTCATTCTTCCTCTGTACTTGAGTGCTGTGTCCAGTTCTGGCTCCTCAGTTTGGGAAGGACCTTGAGATGCTTGAGCACATCCAGAGGAGGCAGCAAGGCTGGTGAGGGGCTGGGAACACAAACCCTGTGAGGAATGTTTGAGGGAGTTGGGGTTGTTTAGCCTGGAGAAGAGGAGGCTCAGAGGTGACCTTATTGCTCTCTTCAACTCCTGAAGGGAGGGTGCAGACAGGTGGGGTCGGTCTCTTCCACCAGGCAGCACTGACAGAACAAGAGGACACAGCCTCAAGCTACGTCAGGGAAGGTACAGGTTGGATATTAGGAAAAAAATTTCACTGAAAGACTAATAAAGCACTGGAATTGTCTTCCCAGGGAGGTGGTAGAATCACCATCTCTGGATGTGTTTAAATAAAACTGGACATGGCACTTGGTGCTATAGCCTAGTTGAGGTGTTAGGGCATAGGTTGGACTTGATGATCTTAGAGGTCTTTTCCAGCCTCATTATTCTGTGATTCTGTGATACTCTTATATCATAGCATCATTCCCTGCAAGTGGGCTCCTGGGTGGGATTCTTCCATGGGTCTGTGTCAGCATTGCCTGGGGGCTGGACAATCCTACTGTGCCGTGGCTCCCGGGCAGTGCTGGAGCAGCTGGCTCCAGCCAGGCACTGTGGTGGGTGGGAAAGTGCTGGCACCAGCAGGTCATCAGCCACGTCCCACTGGGGAAGGGGGACCCAGACTTGTGAAAGAGGAGCTGGGAAGGAGGGCATCATCTCCCAGCCCTCCTAGAGCCTTTCTCTCCCTGTCCCTCTTCATCCTCTTCTTCCTCCATAAGAGGAATTTTTGTGGGAATCAGGGAAGTGCAATAGGAAACAGCCATGGGAGGGAGGATGAAGATCGTGGTGGACCTACTCTGGCTTACCAAGGTTTTTGGTGTTTTTCTGCCATGGCATTTGCCTTCCCTGGCCCAGCACTTTTCCTCAGGTGTTGCTTCTCTCCTGTTGACTTTGGTGACTGTGTCCTGGCAGGTCAGGGTCACAGCTGGCACCATCCCAGCCCAGCAGCCAGCCTGCCTTGCTTGCCACGCTGGAGCCACCACGCTGAAGCCAGCTGTGGATCGCTCTTACAAAATCCTCTGCTGACTCACCCTTCCCTTGCTTGCCTAAGTGAAATCATGCCTGCCTTTAAAAATCTCATTGCAGCATTACATGACACAGTTATCCACTTCTTTCACTGTCATGAACTGCTTCAGATAAGCAGCTGTGAGGTTTTTGGGAAAGATAAAGGTAGGTTTTTTCTTTGCTCCAGGGACTCTGAAATAGGCATTACTTCTCTGCTTCCTGATATAAATACAAATCTGTTCAATCACTGAGGTTGTTCCTGGAGATGCTGGGAACTTGCTTTCTCCATCACAAGGTGAACTCAGACATATCTCTCTGGGCCAGGTTTGGTTTAGGGACAGCACTGTGAGGATTTTCAGTTGCTGTGCCAAGATTGGAGGCATTGTTTACATGCACTCTATTTTGCAGAGCCAGTCACGCATTGAATCCGTGTCCATGTCTGTTAGCCACCCAAAGCAAGAGCCTGATGAGTGATGGATTTTAGAGATGGACAGACAGGTAAAAAGTGAGTGGAATTTTACTTAGGTTGAGACAAACCACAAAATTTTTTCTTGGTTTTCTTTTTTTTCCCCTCTTTTTACTACATTTTGTTCTATAGTAGTTTTGGGTTTGCTTCTGATTTCATTACATTTTGATTCAATGTTGGTTTAGATTCTGATTCACCTGGCATTTAAAAAATTTTGTGCTTTATAAAATAGTATATTCATTTTTAACCTGTTGAAGTTTTTATGGCCATACAAACCATGCCTGTTGAAAATAACTTGAAGGTCCTGATGTTTCCCAAATTTAACAAAAAGAAAGTTATTTTTTTCTGAAGTAAAATATTTCAATACAACCTTAAGGAAAATACTTCCAATTTTTTTTTTCTTTAGGAAGACCTACTTCCCAATCATGATAAATCTTATTTATTTCATCTTGTGATAATTATTAAAACAGTATTGAAACCATGCTTTGGCAAGTGATATACTACTGTATCTTGGTTTTTCAAACACAGCCATGCTGGGGCAAGAAGGCAGTTTAGGACTTGGTGTTGTACCTCTTCTTGTGAGGTGCTGCATCTCTCATTTTCCTATTGCTTTCTTCTCTCTTTTGAATTGCTTTGTATGCTTGGTCCTGTGACATCTCTAGAATGTTTTCTACAGCTTAAGCAGATGCTCAAAAGCACTAAAAGCTGTGTAGAACTCATACAATTGTGCAATTTATCAGTTCAGAAAGGTACAAATAAAGACATTTAACAGGCTATCGTGTGAAAATCATCAATTTTCTATCAGTCCTGTAACACTGGTCATTTTCAGACCTCAAGTATTTAAATACCTCCCATTTCTTTCTGATGTAAATAAATTCAGAATTTTTTTTCTACAAATAACATCCCTCAAAAATGAAAATGATCTTTGAGCTTTGTAATAGAATTTTTTACTTTCTTAGCTGCAAGATGAAAACTAATGCTCCCCTCTGTCTTAGTCTGGAATACTGATTTGCAGAACTTCTTACTGGAGGACATGGTAGCTATTTTAAAATCATACTTGCTCTTTAATGTGGAGAGCCATCTCTGGGAAAAGTTTGCAAGATCAGGCCCACGGTCATCATTTAGTCAAACTGCATAATTCTTAGGTCTTTTAATCTTTTCTCATAAATCAATCCTCCAACCCCTTTAGTCGTATTTGTTGCTTGTCTCTGAATTCCTTCCAATTTTGCAATTTACATTATAATGACGGCTTAGTGAAACTGATGAGAAAGTGATTTTTGGGGCCAATTTTTATGCTGCTTGTAAATATTCAAAATCTGGCTTTCCACAGGCTCGTGAGGGCCCCCCAAACTGGGTGACAATGGCAGGGAGCTGAGGAACTCCCACTCCTGGGGCAAGGACGGATGTTTTGCCAGATTCTCCCACTATGGCTTGCCACTAATTAGTATTCATTATCCCATTGATTTCCATGGGACTGTAACTGCCTACAGCACAGCTCACAGTGAATAAGGATGGGGGATCTGCACCCAGGGTCACTAAACCAGTCCCTGGTTTGACTCAAGGTGAGCAGTTGGGCTCAAGCAGGGCAGGGTTGGGACTGGGCTCTTTGGGGCAGCAAAAGGCATCAGGCAGAGATGTTTTCTTCAGGAATGCCTGTGCTGGTGGGTGACAGTGCTGGGCAAAGCACATCTCCTGGGTGGTTTGGCTGCCACGACACGCTCTGCAGGCAGCTGGGACAAATGGTGAAGTTAGAGCTTTGCACCCCATGGCTGCTGTCCCTCCTGGCCCTTGGATCTGCCACGGCTTTGCTCACCTCTGCTCCACACAGCCACTGTCTGGAAGAGTGTAAGGGCAAATCCAGAGGCACTGAAGGTGGTTTGCTGATCAGAGACCTGAAGAAGATGTACAACTGGCAGAAGAGCAGCCACTCTGCCACCACAGACACCTCCCCTGCTGCTGCTGCCCGGCTGCAGGACATCTGCCCATGGCCAGAGCTTGCCCCAGCACTGAGCAGATTCTTCACGCTGAGGAGAGAATGTGGCCACCACAAAGACCTGATGGATTTAACCTTTCTCATCCAGTACAGCCCACTGGGGTGTGTGCTTGTCCATGGCTGGAGGGGAGGCTCAGGGTAAGGCCATCTGTGAGCCTTTGTAGAAGAAGCCTATGCTGAGAGTCCTTGCTGTCCCTCTCAGATCAGCTGCCATTTACGCCTCTCAAGGAGACAGATTTGCTTTCTCATACTCTTTTTCAACCTATAGTTCTTATTTTCTTATGTGATAGCTACAGTGGATTGGAAATCTGCTGCACTGGCAACAGGCTGAAGTCTCCTGTGAGAGTCTTAGCTCAAATGAGAGCTAGAGAAAAACCATTAGAAAATGAATAGCTGAACCCCTGCCTGCCTGTTTGCTGCCCTTGGCCACACCATCCATAGTGTCCTCTTGCTTCTACCTACTCTGAGTGCACAAATGAAAAGCCACCAGTGCGTGTTTTGAGTCTCAGTCACACAGGTTAACCAGAACCTTTAAATGGAGGCTATTCAGACCAGACCCTCAGAACAAATTTCTCCTGTACGCACCTTTGTAACCACTTCCACCAAAGTAATTTCTTATTCTCTACACAAAGTGCAGAAGTTTACAGAGATCCTCCCTCAACAGGGTAGGCATATGGAAAACAGCAGCCAAAATAATGACTGCAAAGTCAAAATGTCAGGGTTTTAAGTCCTTTAACAACTTTGTTTGACTTTCAGAAGAAAGGTTTGAATTCACAAAGCTGCTTGGTGGTGCTCTGATGAATTGAAACAGGTGGTTTTGGATGAAGAAAGCGTGAGAGGGCAAATCACTCTCCTCTTTTGTTATTTTTCCCAAGGACTAGAATTAGTACTGGTGCTTTCTGGACTGAACCAAGGTGCCATGTAATCAGCTGCAAAATTACTAGAAGCAAAGTTAAAAATAGCCCATATGTGCCAATTTGCTGTAGCTGTGCCTTTCTCCTGAGGGACAATCTTAATCTCTGGAAACTGTACTTTCATACAACACAGACAGGGTTGCAGGTGCTGTGATAGGGAAAGAGAATCTCAAAAATGAGGAATAAAGGTAAGCAAGGCAGATATGGGTCTGCAGAAAACCTGGGACCATAACTCCATGATATGTGAAGTGTTCCTGAGGCTGATACTGAAAACTCAGTGTAAATCATTGTAATATTCCTGTAACAGAGGAAGAAGATAATGCCAGATACCCCCATTTAAATACCTGGCACATCTTTCCTGGTGCCATGAATTAGTAACATTTAGAAAGAGCTGTGATTTTTTTATTCTGTCACTTTCAGGGTCAGGAAGAGACTGAGATGCTTCTTGACGTTCAAGAAGAGCAGATCTGTTGGTCAGAGCTGAATCTTTCACAGGATATTATGGCTGA